CTATCCCCACCCACAGCCACCCGCACACACCCACACCCACACCCACCCACACCCACACCCACCCACACCCACACCCACACCCATACCCACACACTCACACCCGCACCCACACCCAAAATGAACTGATTTTAATATTCGAACATTAAAGTAAATCGCATTCGAATTGACTATCTAATTCGATCATCAACTGTATTTTTTCAGGAAACACTTCATATAATGAGCAACAATTTGAGAAAGTCTAATCGAAATTATTAACTAAATGATATCTGACCTCGGTTATTTACACTCTAAAGATTGATTTTGATGAGAAACTAATCATTATTGAATCAAAGGAGCCTCCATGAAATATAAAAATTGCTCGAATAAAAATATTATTTAATGATGAAGTTTGACACTTGAAGATTTGTTCATAGAAATAATCATTCAGCTTCGTATAACATTGAGAAAAAGATTTTTTATAATCAAGGTTACTTCAAACTGAATATTGTAATTAGGAAACATCACAATCTGTGTAAGGTATATACTAAGGTCAATTTTTCCATTTTCTCTGATATAACTCGTTAAGTGATTCTACATCTTCTCAATTATTCTTTACAACGAAACAAATCTTGTACACTGGAGAATTTTTCAATAATGAAAGCTGAAAGAAACTGTTGACTATTTGATCAAACAAATTCAATAAAGTTCGAAAAAATACTGGTGAAGAAGGACCCAGTAGATGTAATTTTGACGTTTATCTTACTGAACTAATCAGATTTGTGCGTGTTTTCTCGATGAAATATACTTTCTGATGACATCTCGATACTAATATGAAAAATTTAATTGAATCAGAAACTGAACTTAAAATTGATTCTTTTTCAGTTTGTACATTTTGCGACTATATTCAATAGTTCTTCTTCTATTTTATAAAATTATCATCCTACTGTTGCTAAATGTAAAGAATTTCAACCTGAAAAAATATCACATTCATTTTTAGTGCTAATTGAGCGAAAACATCAACACAATCACAAGCATATTTTTATTCAAACTTCGATGATGATTTATCTTAAACAAGAAAACAGCAATAACCTCCATAAGTTGAATCTCTTCAGTTTAAGAAAAGAAAACAATATGAGACTTTTGAGTTGAGATTTCACTTGAAGATCATTGTTTCTTCATTCGACTTATAACATCTGGGTCTACGACAATTAGTCGAATGACTATTAGTCGAACAACAATTGGGCGTAGTCAATTGGGCGACACGACAATTAGTCACTACGATAATTAGTTGTATAAGAAGTTGGTCGCATATACAAGATTAAATTACAAAATGAATTTATTAAATAAGATGATCATATGTGTAAAATAACAAAAAAAAGACAAAAACAGTAAGACAATAAATTACAGAGAAATGTAACACAATGACAAATTGAACGCAATTCCTTCAACTTGTTTGAGAAGTGTTGTGTGTGGATATAGTAATCAGTTCTTCAGATGTTTACTGTAATCTACATACTTCTTCTTTTGAAGAGTTGCATGACCAGCATTGACTTTTACAATTTGGCAATGAATATAATTTGCTCCTTTTCGAAGACTCTAAATAAAAATCCACAGTGATGGATGTTGAAATTGATCGACTGAATTGAATCTACGATGCCACACCTCAGCCAGATTGTTGGTGCGCATTGAATCATCAATAGTTCTTTGATACATATTCCATAGTTCAATTGGATATCTTGGTGTTGCACGTCCATTGGGACATCGCCGTCCCAAATATGTGTCTTCAAAATAATCCATAAGAGGCTGGAACATTGGTGGTAATGATAAATAAAGCTCATTGAATCCTTGATGAACATCAGTTGGTTTAAGAAATGCTAATGCAGCGATCTTATTAACATTATTAGCAAATTTTGAGTCAGTTTCATAATTGTTTTTAAATCCCAGTTCCTAAAATAAAGTGAGCAATTTAGCGAAGTTGTAGAAAAGCATTTCTCACTTAAACTTTTCTCAAGATACTCTTTTATAAATGAAAGAAACATCCTGATATTGTCACAGAATTTGCTGTGGTATTAAATTCTTCTTCAAATGCATTTATTGCACCTTTCTCGAAGTCCACCATAATTGACTTAGAGAACCACGCAGGACATAAATGACGTAATTCTTTAATTAATCTTTGGTACGATTGCTGTTGTTTATCAGGAAGTAGTGCGAAAATCAGTGGAAATACATTGCTTCGATACACACCATGTATTGTATATAATTGAGAGAATATTAAAGGTGTTACCTAAAGTAAAAATGAAGAGTATTGTTTTTCTTATTAAAGTCGTTAACAATAAAACAGTTTACCTTAAAAGTACCATCTATTTTAAAAGATTTCTTCAGTAGTTTTGAGTATTTTTAATTGTTCAATAGATGCAAATATAACTAGTCTATTGTCACCAGGTCCAGAATCGAATTGTAAAAATATATCTTTTCTAAGTGTGATCGTTAAAATTGTTGGAATCATTGTAAAATGTTTATCTTGTGGAACTTGAGGTAAATCATTCTTTTTACGTTGACGTTGAATATTTCGTTTAATATGCTTAAAATTGGGAAGAAGAGCCACCATTTCATTAGATGTATCTTTTAAGTAATCATCAATCACACATTGAGTACCTTCATGAGTAGTTATGACACGAGTACGTATTTTATCATGAAACATTCGTACTTCAGTATTTGCAACTTTTGGAGGATGGTTATGAGCATCATTTTCGTGCAAAATAGTTGTAAAATTAATATCTGAATGTATTCTTCCTTTACATTTAATTGTTCGACAATACTCACATTTCCAATAAACTTTGGTATCATTTGTTTTATCAATTGTGTAATTGTATCATTTGCATATTAGTAATGGTTTATTCTTTTCAGTTGTAGAAAGAACAAAAATTGACATCGTTCCGAAAAAAATAATAACAACTAACAAATATTGACTTTTATTTCGAAAATGTTTAAATTTAATTAATTAATCCAATAAATTTCTTTTTATGTGTTCTATTCATTTTTTAGTGATTCTCATTTAGTTAATCCTCAATCTCATTATCAAATAGTCGTAATCCAATTAAATATTAAGTGAAAGGTACCTATCCTCTGATTAGTCGATAACTTCATTACATGTATAACTACTCTATCCTTTTTTTTCAATGAATAATAAGCTTTAGACCAATTTCTCTTACGACTAATTGTCGTGTCGCCCAATTGACTGCGTCGAATTGTCGTTCGACTAACTGTCGGTCTCCCATAACATATATTTCACAGAAAAATCATCGAAACGAAATTCATTGGAATTTGATGAAGATCATTCGATTTTCATATTATACATTGAATCACATTTCTCAAGTCTTTTTTCCAATTAAAAATCTTCTTCTCAATTTGGTCAATTAGTGAATAGTTTTCCTTCGAGGTTTTTTCTTTGTTTATATGTAAAATAATTAAATTATGTTCTTGATTTGAACTTTAAAAGTTTCATTCCAATTTCGATCAACATTGAAAAAGCAATGTTTTGATAAAGATGAAAGGAATCTTTTTGTTTTCAAAAGATAAACAAATGTTTTATTAGCGTTATCCTACGATTCGAACAAATATCCCTTACATTCAATCATGTTGGCTTCATTTGAACATGTTGAGTCAAAATAAATTATGTTTTAGTTACAATTTTTATTATGATAAATATCAATTTGTAGCTAAAAAATGAATTTAATATTTGGAAAACTCATCTGCACTTCAACATCTTGAAATACTTGAAATTGACTTTTTCCTCAAGAATGATATCCTATTTGAAAGAATTTCAATGGGTCCTTGTCAAAACCTTTTCGAAGTTAATGAAACTATTGATTTTCAATTTACAAGTTTCTTTTTCAAAACGATCAACTGGATTCACTACATAATTGATAGTGAGGAATAGTGTTCATAGTTGAAAGTTTGCTAAGGCAAGTACAATTCCTTTCCATTTTTCAATTCATTGTTCTGGATTGTAAATAGTAAATAGATATTTTTGAATTTGATCATGTTTTAAAAGTCGAAATAGTCGTAGTAAAATAAATAAAAGAATGTTCACATAATTTATGAACGCCTACTTTACTAAAAATCGAATCATTTAGTGAGAATTCCTTTTGTTCAAAACGTGATAGTACATATTTAAAATGCTTCACACAACATCAATACAAGTCTTGATTACGACGGAGAATAGTCGGAAGAATTCTCTCTCGCTGTTGAAATAAAAACTCTTTTTCACAAAGTTCGATGAGAACTGAATTTGAGATTTTTATTTCAATATATGAAACATTCACAAGTTAAACCTTCATCATTTTTGAAACAATGAGTTGAAGTGCTAAAAAAAACAATGATTCATCAGAATTAGGAAAAGAAATTATTTAGATCTCTAGATTCGATCCTATCGACTTGCAATAGAAGAAAAAGATACTAATTATTTGAGATGTACGTTTTTGTTTATCGTCACATATGAAATTGATATCGTCGTTTTCTAATAATAATATATGATTTCAATTACGTGAAGATTATCATCGTTAGATACTTTTCAAAATAACACACACTCAAATGAACTTACTGAAAGAAAAAAAGAAAATCAATTCGTCTTTTATAATAGGAGAATGCTTTTATTTTCGAAGGACATTCTAACTCTCAGTGAAGAATTGAGACAAAGAACTTTTTACCACAATCGAGGCTTGACTATTGTGGAAGTAAATAAAGAAGTTCAAACTCTATCATAACTCGCTCATTCTTTCCGAGAAGAAAATAGAATCGACGCTACTGCCAATGATAAGACAGTGTCTTTTAAGAAAAATGAGTGGATACTGGAGCTGGGCACAGAACTGGAAGGTTCTGCTATCTTGTACCCATCTCTATTTTATGCTTTTTCTTCTTCTCTGTATCATTTTCGTTATCATATGTTAAGACAACGATGATGAAAGCCCATAAGTTCGTATTGTTTTAAGATTCATCTCTTCTGATGAATGTGTTATTAATCCTTTCCGGCCGGTTACTACTTAGAGTTGAACAACAGTTTTCTCAACGTTAAATAAAAGTATAAAAATAAAGAGATATTTTTAATATAATTTTACTAAGTTTTTCTGAAATATTTTTAACGTTAAATTACAGTTGATATAATCATTGAGCTAGAAATCACATGATTGAAGGTCTGGTGCATATATTTAAAAGTAATTTCATATCTTTTCCACCTGATGTTCTTTTTTTTTCGTGTTTCATTGGCAATAGATTTAATCATCTGTAATAATAATAAATAATCGCCATGATCCATCACGAAGTTTTGCTAAATTATCACAACAAACTCTAACTCGTTCTTGCTTTTCTCATCTTTAGAGAATCGTAAATAATTCATTCTTTAGTATCATGAAAGAGACAAGTCTTAGCTATAATATCATCATAAGTAGGATGTGGATCATAATTGATAATCTATCGTACCAGCTCAATGTTTGAGTTTGTCATCTCAGGAACTCGGCGATCAAATTGAGAGTCATCATTGACATTTATTATTTCTTCAACGAAACATTTTCCCAATCATTCCACTGTTCGATACAAAGTGTTTCATAGGTTTTGAGACTTGACAAAAATTAGTATATATCCAGACGGCAAATAATCTCAAATCGAATGTCTATTTAAGGTTTAAAAGTACTTTTGCTGGTCTTCCACATGATCTATTATTGGATGACGTATTCTATTGTAATAATAAAAGCATTAACATTAGAATATCATGATAAACTCTTTGAAATCGATAAATAAGATGTTTCATTAATAAAAAGAACACTCTACTTTACAGATACACATATTAATCTGATTATCCAAGAATGTGATTTAACTATCACGTAGTTGTTCTTCCTCGCTTTTTATTACTCCGCCAAGTCTCTTAGGAATTTTATCAATCATTTTCTTACAATCATTACAATTTATTTTTGTCTTGCTTTTTTAAAATATAGTTTCCATGTCTTAAGGCTTGAAAATTGTTCACTTCATACTTTTTCCTTTAATATTCCCTATACATTTTCAACAGACCATGCCTCAGGAGATTTAGTATCACCATCGTACAGCTTGATTAAACATTGTCACCAACGGTTCATGACAAGTGTACGATAAACAGTTAAGAGGATTATTCATTGGCTGCTATTATGCTACTTTTTTATGTAAAATGTATTCAGCACTTCATTTCACAACCGTTGAAAAAATTATCTTGGTCAATTTCGAAAAATTTGGCATAACATTCACATGTTTGTTTATTTTATTATATGGGAAAACGTCATTCAGCAATACGCTGTTTGAAAGACCAACATCAGTACTCAAATGTCATATAAAGACGTTAGGTTTGAGATTATATTTTCTGCGTGCATATAAACTAATTTTTGTCAAGACACAAACTTATGAAATATCTTGTATGGCGAAGCGTTCAGTTTCAATGCTATTAGAAAATCCTCTTGAATAGTCTGAATGTGGGTGTGGATATGAATCTTCTCTTCACACCGTACCGACAGGAACACCCATAGTCACACTACATCAAAATAGATTTATAATATATATAACTAGAGAACATACATTGTGCTATTTACTCATGCAATAGAGTCTTAAATCTGAATGAGTTTATAAAATTGTCAACAACGTTGTCAGAACTTTTCACCAGACTTAAGTACTTGGGTGACCAGAAGTCAAAATACGGATTCTTACTGTCCCTTTCTATGACCAGATCAGGTGGATATTTTTAAGCGAAAAAAAATACGAATGGTCTAATTTAGCAATAATTGATAATTAATCAGAAACATTCACTTAAATAACTTTGAATAGAACAAAATATTTGAAAATCACCAATGTTTATTTTCAACATCGAGAATTCAGTACATATTTTTGAACTTGAAAATCAGATTCTCATCAAATTAAAAGCATAAGTTTTCAAAATGTAGAAATACTAATTGTTTTTGTAATTGATAGCAGTTCAGTACTGCTCAAAACAAAACAGTATCTCATTTCAATGAGATCGAGGTTTATTTCTACTCCACACTTTTGTTTCATTTCAGTACCACTACGTTCAAGTACGAGTGACATTAGTCCGAATGTAAAATGGATAGGTTGTGGGTGTGGATCTTCTGTTGAACCCCACACTCACACCCGACTTCCTTGATAACTTTTTCTAACACGCCATGAAGAGTAACAGACGAATCAATTGGGAGTAGAAGGGTCTTTTCCAAAGAAAACTAGATTAATAATCGTATAAATAATTTTAGTTTATCAATATGTTGTTCTCTAATTCTTCGTTCAAGTCTCGGTATCCTAACCTACCGGCACTTCTCATTTCAGTAGGTACATGCTATTAATTTTTCACTTTGCGTTAGCGTAACTCGAGTTCCTCATCTCAGTGTTGTGGGCGCTGCTGTAGTTTGATTCTTCGAGAACAAGACAAATCTCAAAGTAGAATTTGATTCAGGTGCAATCATCCTTGCCATTCGTTCAACATCATCCTTACTTCATGTAACATTAGAATTCTTTCACACATGAGCTTTGCCGAGCGGTGACAGGCAAATGTTCATGTTGTCGTCATTTCAATAACTATATTGATTAACCCAAAATGTTAGATACAATGATGATTTTCTTGCTGAAAATACGCCTGCCTATTGTGCATGTCTTAGCTGAAGAGTAGAAAGC